ATCTTAATATGAACTGAAGACGGTTGGGAGAACAGTTCTCTGTTTTTGTGTCAAGATGTGTGATGTGAAACTCGTCTTAAGAATGATCTGCATATGCTACTGGATTTAATATTCTGATTTTAAAAGAGCTTTTATCTGCACATTAATAGCTGAGCGTGACCTAGGATTTTCTTTTCTTACATGGCCCTTGTTCATTTCTGATAGCAGGGTGTGACTTCCCACAGAAGTTGGAGAGCTTTTATTCACTTTAGTGTCTAGAATAGTTTTCTGATAGCTAATCCTGTCTGTTCATGGAAGATTTGGTCAGAATCCCTTAGAAAAATTATCTAGGCTTGAGCTTTTTAACTTTAAAGAGAGGAGAAAGCTTTTGCTTACTGATTCAATTATTTTAGCGGTTACTGGCTTATACAGATAATTCATTTCTTCCTTCACTCCATTTTGTCATTTATACATTTCTGTAAAATATTCCAGTTCATGGCTAATCTGCTCATTGTCAAAATTATCTGCGAAGAAGCAAGAATCTTGGGAGAATTGGAAACATTTTGTATTTGCAGAAATGAGTTCATAGATTTACATGTTTGTCAAAACTTACCAGATGAAGGATATAGTACATAGCAAACAAATTGTTTGTAATAAATGCAATTAGGTTTTATTTGCATAAAATTGTACCTAGTTTGCTGGTGTGTGTGTTCCCATCCTCGAAATCATCTTTAGATTTCCTCTCCTTTTTGTTCGTATCACCTGTCTGGACAATCATTCTCCGTTTCTCCATAAATCTTGTTGGAAGCGTTGTTCACTTCGTTATGTTTGAAATAACTGAAACTGTGAGAGACCTCCCAGTATCCTTGTTCTTTTGATCATCTCGGTCAAGCACCTTGAGTACCCTGCCACAACCACTACCATCATTTTATTGGGGTGAGTGAGAGCCTACAGGAAGTCATGTGGCTCTAGGAGGTTACAACATTTTAGGAAAAGGCCAGCGATAGAGGACTGGAGCAAACCACGCTTGGCACTCTTCCAGTTCCTCCCTGGCACTGCTGCTGCCCATTCAGTTTTCTGCTAACTCCTCCTGGGAGGCAGCAGGTGCTGGCTCCAGGGCATGAGTCTCTGCCCCCTTGTGGGAGATGCCTTCAGCTTCAGTATGCCCCGGTTGTTGGGTTGTTGTGGGTATTCGGAAAGTGAACCAGCAGATATTCTCTGTCTGCCCGTAGACAGTGGAGGGATACTCTGAGGAGCCTCGTGTAGCCAGGAGACTGTGGGAAGTTCCCCAGATGTTGCTGAAATGGCCCCCTGGTGTCTTCTTCATGGGGAATATCCTCAGAATACTCAGGCAGGGCTTGGCTGAAAGACTGAGTGCTCATTATCCCTTAGGAAATATGTCCTGTGTGTTTATCCTTATGGGCAGGACAGTGATCCTTCCTTTAGTAAGGGCAGACCAAAGGAGACAGCAGATTCTGAAACAATACAGCACCACTTAGCTACTAAATGGTTAATATGATTTACAGTTTGGAAATTCATGTGCTTGTCTTCCAGCTAAATGGACTTGGACACTTAGCATGATTTCTAGTTTTCCTTTTGTTCAAACAAAAATGACAACAAAATGCTCTTTCAGACTTCAGAGAGCTAATTATACTTAACTGCTAAATGTAAAAATTTCATTGCCTTTTATTTTTTCTTCTAGTCATCAAAGGCATCCTAGAAGGAAATATTTAAGATGCACTATGTAATAATGTGATGTTTATATTTTAAAGCCAAATGTGATATGATGAAGTAACATCCAAGTTAAAGGTATCTTTAAAAAAGAGAGATCTTAGTGTATTCAAAGATATTGTTATTAGTTTTGTTGGGAGTTACACAGAATTGCCAGGTGCTGTGTAACAGGTGTACCCAGGCTGTTTTTGAATATAATTGCTTGTGCATAATTATATGTTTTGGAAAACTTGCAGGGAAAATATATGTAGTGAGTAAGATTTGGTTACTTTCAAAGTCAGACTCAACACTCTATTGGGAAACCCCATTGTGCCCTTACTGAATGGTGCTGGGCACCAGCAACAAAATTATTTATCTTAAATTTTCATTAGAGCTCCTGGAATTGAGAGGGGAACAAAAGGAAGCTTATAATCTTGAGTAATTTTGCTTTCTTGTGCTTAAAAAATATTTAGGGCATCTGAGAAAACTCAATTCTGCAAACCATTTTATAAGTTGCTAAAGCCTGAGTGATTTGAAAACCAGAAATTTATTTCCATACAGTTTGAGAGGCCAGAAGCCCAAGATAAAGATTTCGGCAGGCTTAATGTTTTCTGTGGCCTTCCTCCTGGCAGGCAATGGCCGTATGCGCCCTCTATCTTTACATGGTGTGTTAGTGATAGAACCAGCAGTCTGTGCATATCTGTATGTACATGCTATCTGTGTGTATCTGTGTGTGTGAGTGTGTGTGTGTGTACTATATCTATGTGTGTGAACATGTGTGCAGAGGGAGAGAGCATGAGAATGAGGCAGAGACAGAGAAAGATATTTTAAAGATCTGTTGAGGCTTTGGAAATATAGCATCTGCAAACTAAAGACCCAGGGGTGCATTACGTTTCAAGTCCAAGGGCGACTGGCTGACAGATTTTCTTCTTGCTCTTGGGCAGCCAGTTTTATCTTGTAAGACCTTTAGTATGCTGGATGCAGCTGTCTCACCTTGGGAGAGTTATCTGCTGTACTAAAAATTAACTTGCTTAAATATTAATGCCATGCAAAAGAACTTTCACAAAAATATCCAGAATAATGTTTGACCAAATATCTGGGCACCATGGCGCAGCTAGGTTGGCAGATAGAATTAAATGCTTCATATGATCTTTCCTCAATACCAGTGCCTATATTCCAATTTCCTGTTGTAAGACACTACTCACATTGGATTAAGACCCACCCTAGTGACTTAATCTTAAGTCTTACCTCCAAACACATTTAAATTATTTTTATTATTGATTTGGGAGTGATCCTAACTGCTCCTTCACTCGTCAAATGCCCATGACTGTAGGTGAAAACTGGGAGGGGAGATTTTTTTTCCAGGTCTGCCATGTGTGTGGCAGTCTTAGCTACCTGAGCCTTGCTTACTGCTTCTCAGGGTCTGAACTACTGGGAAGCTAACGTCAAGAAGAATCAGATGCTGTTGTTTCCATCTGGGACATGGAAGTAAACACGCATCTCCACTCCACATTGTCAAGTGCTAAGGGTAGAACTTCCACGTACAACTTGGGAGCAGGAGAGTACACAATTCAGACCATACCACTCATTAACTGAAAACTCGCCTGGGATGAAAAACAGCTCAGGAATACTTCTCCTTGATGCAGAATTCTCAAAGCCTGCCTTTGCTTGCAGCAACTCCGTCATTGGCTTGAACATGGTAGAAGAAAGTGCGTGTTTATTGCAAAGTGAAGAGCAAGGAGCTGGGCAGATGGGGCCTACTTCCTGGGCTCTTCACTGGGCTAGAGTAAAGGGACATTCAAATTAAGGGTGGGATTGAGAAGTCATGTCTTTGGTCTATGCTTATGCCCGTCCTTTGATGGTCAGCAGTATCATGCTCTTTTGGAAATCTTCATGATGGTAGTCAGGTGGTAGAGTTACTCTTTGCTCAGGGCTTGGGGTCCCTGGAAAAACAAATCTTCAGACAAGACTGAGTATCAAGAGGTTATTTTCTTAGGGGGAGACGAATGATCTGAGTCTTGTGTTCAGGAACCTATATAACCAGCTGCACCACTTCCTCAATAGTAAGAGGTTGATTTACAGTCACAAAAGTAGAGAAGAGGATGTTTAACCCAAGGGAGGAAGCCTGGCCGACGGAGATCTGATGGTGTCTAACACCTGCATGATTTGGAGCAGGTTGTTTAGTTACGCCTTCACTTGGGCGTGCATGTGCCATGTCAGAGGATCTGGGTCTGTGTCCTGGCTCCACGTCCTATGGAAGTCCCGTGCTGGCTCAGGGAACTGAGTCCCTGTCATTCCCGTGGAAGGCCAGGGCTGACTTCCTGACTCTTGGTTTTAGTTTGCCCAATCCCAACTGTAGCAGGCATTTGGGGAGTGAAGTATTGATGGGAGAATTCTCATTGTCTTTCTCCCTCCCTTCCTCTCTCTCTTTCTCTCCTTTTCAAATAAATGAAAGAATCTGAAAATACTTAACATATGTTATTTCCTCTCATTCTCATTCCAGGGTAACACATTTCTGAATCCCTGCATAAACCAGTTAATTGGAATAGAAAGTAACTTTCTTTACTTTTCTACAACCTAGAAATCAACTGTTTATTTTTGTTGTTGTTGTTGCTTGACATCTTCCATCTGCTGGCTCACTCTGCAAATGGCTGCAATGGCCAGAACTAGGCTGGGCTGAAGCTGAGACCAGGAGCTTTCTCTGGGTCTCAGACTCGGGTGCAGAGTTCCCAGGCTTTGGACCATCCTCTGCTGCTTTACCAGGACACAAGCCGGGAGTTGGATTAGAAGTGGAGCAGCCAGGACATGAATCAGTGCACATATGGGATGCTGGGGCTGCAGACAAAGGATTAGCCTACTCAGCTACTGTAATGACCCCAGTTGTTTGTGTGTGACAACTATTCACGTAGTCTCAATTAGAGATTAGGTTAAAATGCGTTTTTGTTATTCTGGTTATATCTGGATTTTTGCTTGTTTTCATTCTGTATTTTTAGATCGCAGTTAGAGGGCAATATGTAAGACTTTTTTTTAATCTTGAGTTATGAATTAATTTGGAGTCACAATTAAAGACAAAAAATATTACCAGTGGGAATGACCAATAAAATTAAGAAGAAAATATACAGTTAAGGCATGTTACCAATCACAAAATGGTATATCCTATCAAATTAAATCTTGTGACATTATCTATTATATCAATATCTTAGTTCCTCTTATCTCTGAGGCCTGCTTACCAAAAGGGTGCCCTGTTTCTCTGTCTCTTATATGAAGAAGATGCTTCTGCTTCTTTCTCTCCTCTCTCTTTGTTTTTGCAGATAATAAAGAACTTTTCCTTTCCAAGGCAATTCACAAATCCTTCATAGAGGTTAATGAAGAAGGCTCGGAGGCTGCTGCCGCCTCAGGTATTCAAAATGTTGTTTGCTAAAATTTTCTCATCTCATCTGTCTGGATTTGTGTTTTCGAAGCCATCCTGGATTGGGGGAGGGTTCCTTCTCAGAATCAAGTGAAGCCAGAGTCAGCTCCAATTTAGGGTCAGGGAAGTGAGTGCTGCAGGGCCCCTCTACCGAGTAACCCCTGGGGTAGCTGGCTCCCTAATGAGAGACTGGACACCCTGGCAGCAATGGATAAATAGATTGTCCTGCTGTGCTGCCTGCTTAAATATTTAAAATATTTCTCTGGTACCCACTTAAGCATTTTTCTTCCCATCTAATTGCTTGTGGAGGTTGGTTTTTAGTTTTGCAGGTGAACACTTTCAACTTAAAAAGGAAAACCCATACATAATGAGAGCATGTAACAGAATCCAAAATAATTTTAAGTGCTTTTAATGAGCAATGGTTAAATAAATAACTTAAAATTTGCTAGAAATCACATGTCCAGTATGCATGATGCTGCTCCCCTAGTTAGCTAATACATGCATATCCCGTGCCTTTTCTCTCCCTTATTTTTGGAGTGGGGTTGAATTTATATCAATTTCATGTTCAGTAACTAACTTCACATTTCAATAGGATGCTCTACTCAATCCCTCTAAAAAATTACTAGATTATATGTGAACATATATATATATTTTTAATTTACTGATCACAGCAGTTATTTTCAGGGTTAAATTAGAGCAGCCATCTTAGAATATGAAAGCTTAATTTTTGGCAAAAATCAGTCTTGACTTTTTCCTGAAAAGCATGCTGTATCACACATACAACCACTACTCATAATGAGGATCACAGGGAAATGCAGTCTTCTAGCTGGAGGAAGCCACTGCCCCTCTCACTGCTGCTTCTCTTTAATCATGTCTGTCCTGACTCCTCACAGTTGGCTGCTGGAGCCTTGCTGCATAAAAGTAACCATTTCAGACAAAAGAAATAAGAATGTAAATAATATGAATTATCTTCATTTTTTTCTATTTTGGGGGTCTTTTTTTTCTTTCCCTACCCTTTCCTCAAAGGACATTTCAAGAACAGCACCTGTGTATATCAGAGACAAAATAACGTTTTGCTAACAGGAAGAATAAATTATCCTATTATTTTGGTGGAATGGAAGGAGTAATTGCATGTGACATGTGTTGGTTCTTCTGTTTTCAAAACAGAAAGTGAAAATGTTGGTGCTCTTACAAGTTTCCCTCAGGTCTGTCGTCTGTGGCCCGTTGCTTTTCCATTGTGGTGACAGAGCTGCCTTTGAACAGGTGCTCGCGAGTGCCTGTGTACACTCAGACGTGCTTCCTCTCTCTGCAGGAATGATCGCCATCAGCCGGATGGCCGTGCTGTACCCCCAGGTGATTGTGGACCATCCATTCTTCTTTCTGATCAGAAACAGGAGAGCTGGTAAGTCTGTTTTAAGAATGGAACTTTTTTTTTTTTTTTCAAAATGAACCAGCAAGAAATCTTCTGCTTTAATTTGAAGCCTTTTTTTTTTTTTACTGTGTATCAAATAATTTCTAATGTTCAAAGCCTTCCTCAAAAACTATTTTATTTATTATACTTTGAGATAACACTATTTAAGTTTATGTTATAGCCACAGGCTTCATAGTTTGACTAAAGAGTTGACAAATAGAAAGGGACAATGGGCAAGGACTACAAATGAATAGCTGTTAATATTATTCTCAACTTTACTCATACGAAGACATTTTAGAAGTTATAAAATCGTTGAAATAATGGCAGGATACAATATTAATATGTATGGCAGATATTTTAAAAAGTTTAATAAAGCACTGTAATTACAGTAAAAACTGGTACTCACAGGTTAATTTTATCTGCCCTGTATAAGGAAGAATAGACAATACTTGTTGTTCTGTGTTTGGGTTATTTCACTCAACCTGATAGCCTCTTGTTCCAGCCATTTTGTTGTAAAAGAATAGAATTTCGGTCTTTTAAAAATAGTTGAATAACTGTATATATTTTTTAATTTACTCATCTGCTATATAGATCTGCCAAATGAACCAGGAATCCCATTATAGATCAATACACAAAGAACATGAACTAATACACAGAGAGCTGCTGTTCCCAGCAGGCAAAATGTGCAGTCAACCACAGTTTATATCCTTGGTTGAACATTCAAATGCTTTTTTGAAAAAAGTGTTATATGAATCATAAGTATTGATAAATGAAATTTAAAGCTTCATTTTACAGCACTGCTAATAGGAAGCACAGAGGGAGCTGAATGGTCCTCTCTTCTGTTCACATCTTGTTGCAGGCACCATCCTGTTCATGGGGCGAGTCATGCACCCCGAAACAATGAACACGAGTGGACACGACTTTGAGGAACTCTGAGTCATTTCATCCACACAGCAGGAAAGCAGTAACAAAGCACATCCTGTCTGCAACTGGTATACCCTTCGCATTTGTGTTTAATGGTGTATCTTATGATAGTATTTAAGAAACTCCAGATAAATATATATATATATGTAAATTATAAGCAACTTGCCAAGGAATGTGGTCAGTATTATGGCAATAGTCTTGTTATGGGATTGTATTTGTTGTGCTGTTATCACAATAAAAGTACATGTCGAACATATCAACAGCTCTTTTTCTTTCATTTCAGAATTTAAAGTTACTTCTAGCTTGCAAATGTGATTCTCTTTCGAAATCCAAATACTATCTAAATACCAAGAGGAGAAACTTGGAGATAGTCATGTTTCTGAATGTCTTAAATCTTTCATAGAGATGGAGGACCAAAGCAGCAAAGTAAGTTAGCATTACACATTTAGCAAGAACAGCAATAAATGAAGGCAAGCACTCCGCATAAATTCTTATTGTCATTTTTGATAAATTAGCATCATAGTATATAGGAGTACAAAATGAACATCTTTTGCATTAATACATGATAAACTTTGTTAAAAAAAATAAGTTTATATAAATGCCATTGGTGATACCAATGGCTTACTTTTCTAATTTTTAAAAATCCCCTTGGTTTCATATGTTTGATGTAGTTAGAAAGCTATTATCATGTTTTGCTGCTGCAAGTATCATTCAAATTGCAATTTCCCCAAAGTTTCAAAATGAGCCATATAAGCAAATTAGTAAAAGTAGACACATACGTATGTGACTGGAGAGTTAACAAGAAAAGCCTTACTAGTACAGAGGAGGACAGGTACAAGGCCCAGGATGACCGCAGCCCAGGGTTGACTGAGGACCAGGGCTCAGCATAAGCCATGCTTGACCACACCCTGGGCTGACCATGCCCAAGGGCTGTCTGCAGACCAGGGCTCAGCATAAGCCATGCTTTACCACACCCTGGGCTGACCATCCCCAAGGGCTGTCGGTGGTCCAGAGGTGACCATGGTCCTTGGCTCACCAGGGCTCACAGACACACTCGGGTCCCTCTACATGGGGGCTTGATAACTTAGACTGGGCTATCACGCTCTGCACCTCTCCTGCTGGCTGCAGACTCCTGAATGTATTTGTGGTTGAGATTGCTGGAAAGCTGTCACTAACACACTTATTTCCTTTATTAGAAGTTGTCCACCAGGGCAGGTGGAGTTACAGTCAAGGTCTCCAGTAAATTACTTTGCTATCTTTCAGCAGAATTAGTGGTATTTCTGGGAAACACAGATTCTTTAAAGCAACATTTTTATTTCTATGATTAACAGTTTCCAGAAAGTTTTGGAACATTGTAAATTAAAAGTATTTACCTGTTACTTTCTGATGCATTAGATATTTTCGCTATCATTTTGTGCTTGATAACAATTAACATGACCAATAATTTAATCCAGGAGTTCCAAGAAGCAAACTCCGATCTTGATCTATAAATTATAAACTGTGAATATAAATGTGAAATCTTTTCTATCAGCATTGTTATTACATGCTGCAGTCTTGAGCCTGTCAAAGGAAATGTGGAAAAATCCTTACACGGTACTAATGTTTAGATATTGTTGATTTGTAAAAAATTAAATCATTCAATAAAGCATGCTAAGAACTTGTCAAACGTCAAAGTGTGATGGATCACCTAGGAGTCTTAGGACTAATACAGATTCTGATTTGGTGGATCTTGCGGGGAGAAGAGGCTTGAGACTGCACATTCTGACAAGTTCACCACTGACGCCATGGCTGTTTGTCACTGACGAGGTTTTCATGCTTGGTATTTGGATCAGTGAAGACAGAAGAGCTGTGTGATTCTCTCAGAGCTCTCCATGATTCAGGCGATAGTTTGGAAACATGCATTAAAAATGCAATACACTTGGAACAAAAAAAAAGCTAGCTTTATTCCAGATTTTATTATCTGTTTCATTATGTGGACAAATGCAAAGAATCACTCCACATATTAGAAGAGTTATGTTATTTAGCAATATGGCATCTTTTATAGGCAATACCCGCAGACAACTTTAAGACGATTCAAGAATACAATACTTATCACTGAATCATTTATAGTATATGTTTCTAGAGCATTTACAGTTCATTTCTAACGTGAGGCTATTGTGTAACACTGTTTCATTCATAATATATGCAGGTTGGGTTAACTGATTTTCATTCAGTGTTCTGATATTTATCAAGTACTGTATAAATTACTATGTCTGTTTCAGCCACAGACCTATCAGAAAGAGAAAACATCATTACACAATCATGCAGATTTTATGAAATCCCAAAGGCAATTTTTATTAGCAACTATAAGGTTAAATTCTACTAATTAATGTTTACTTTTATAGCATTTCATACAATTTATGTATGTTTTGCCAGAAAATGTACTATCTCTTGTTATTAGCATATTTGTGAAATACCCAAATATATGAATACTCTAGTCAACCTTTTATTTAATTTTGTCTATAGTTTCTTTACTTTTTTTTCTCTCTGGAAAAATTAACTTTCTATTATTCAATATCACTTGCTTTAAAACCTGCTATATGACCCAGCAATTCCAATCATGTATATTATTGTACAGATAAGAAAGCAGAGAGTTTTCACACAATTTCCCCCCAAAAAATGGCATGAATGTTTAAAATTATGGTTGGTCATTGCTAACAGAAAGAACACACATGCCAGTGAATGAGTAGACCAACAAAGTGTGAGGTATCCACACAATGGATTGCTGCCTTGCCATAAAGAGGAATGAGCTGCTGACACATGTATGCTGAATAAAATAACTCATTGCTGTGTTCAGATGACCTCTGGGCAGGTGGAAGCAGGTGAGGAGGGTGTGTGACTGAATGTGACAGCGGAAGAGAGGTTTGGGGGAGGAGCTTTTGTTGTTTTCATTATGACGAAGGCTCCAGGAAGCTGTACTTTACCGTTGCTTAGAGCTATACACCAAAAAGGATTTTTTTAATGTAAAATTTTCACTTTTAGCAACTCATGCCATTTTGTTTAAAAACAGTGTCATTATTTATTCTCCCTTACAAACAGAAGAACCATCAACACAGTAAGAGCAACTTTGATGTTACAAAGGCTGGCACAATGCTGGTTATTTCTCTGATTTTGTAACAAATCCTCTTTCTCCGGCACTTCTTTCCTGTGCCGTATTACCCAGGCATGTTGCGGCATATAAATTCCTGTTCACTGACCTGACATTTGGAAAAGGGAACATTTCTGAATGTTGGCCCAAGCTCTGCTAAGCTCTCTTGGTGACCAGTTTCCAGAAAGGACCCACCTTAGAAAGGAGTTGGGTACAGGAGCCTGTCAGCAAGTTGGGCTGAATGGGAGAAGAACCTCCAAAACAAGAGTTCCTTGGCAGAAACAACATTGTATTCATTCATCCACATAAACTACACATTTGGTAGATAAAGTGAATTTGCTGTGTGTGTCATACAGGGTGGGATGATGGAAGAAAGTATTATTTTATTCCTTTTTAGTTACTTAATTGAATACCCCTTTGGGTTATGCTTTTAATTTATCTAAATCTCAGTTTACTCATTTCGAAAACAGCAGTAATATTTCTTGCTCAATTTTAAAGACTGTGGAGTTTGAATAAGAAACCAGCATGACACCACTTTGCAGAGCAGAGGGTATCTATGTGGAACGAGTTTGGTGTTGCAAATTCTTTCCCTTTTTTCTCTAAAGGGGCTTTGGGGGAAGCTGCCAGAAGCATCCTGGGGTAAAGGAAATTGCTGCTCAGTAAATAACGATATATGTGGGAGGACAGCTCTCATCTGTCCCATACTGAGGAGAAAAAGCTGCAGTGCAAATACTAAAAAAAAAAAATAGGAAAAGTGTATTTTTGGTCAACTCTTTTCATCCATCTGTTCCCTTTTCTTGGCTTCATTGAGAACATTTGACCTTTTTTCCTAAATCCATTTCATTTTTCATTATTTGTCTTTCAACACGTTTTAGTGCTTGTTCCAGAGATTTGACTTACAGTTTTCACATTTTGCATAATATTTCGCTTATTAGTGTTTCATCACTTCATGTGGAATGTAGAAATCTTCCAACCATGTAATTTCTTGACCCTACTTCTTATTTTATAGTTGTTTTAAGTTACCTGTGCATACAATGGAGAAATCCCATCAGATAATAATTATAATTTTTGTTTTAAATTACACATATTGAAAAGAACTAAAGGACAGATGTGGGTATTTTAACAGAACGTTTCATAGCTTATAGCTTATGAAAATATTGCTTAAAGCATTTGCTTATTGATTTGAAAGACAGTGTTACAGAAAGGAGACAGAAAGAGAAAAGCAGTTTTCCATCTGCTGAATCACTCCTCCAGCAGCGACCAGGCCTGGGCCAGCTGAACCCAGCAGCTAGCAACTTCATCTGGCCTCCCACCTGGGTGCAAGGACCCGAGCGCTTGGGCCAAGTTATTCCATTTTCCCAGGCCGTTGAAAGGGAACCGCATCATTAGTAAAACAGCATGAACAAAAAACAGCACCTGTATGGGTTTTCCTATAGTAATCAGCATTTTAACCTGCTTCCACACAATGTCTGCCTCCAAAATCTGGACTTCCCAAGTTTCTCTTTCTTGGTAAACTTGAGTTACTTCCAGTATCACATCTCTGCTTGATGAAGAACCAATCTCGTCAGCATTTCTTCTACAACAGGAATACTAGTGAGAATATATTTTAGTGTTTTTCATCTGAGAATGTCTTCCCATTTCTTACTGAAAAGTATTTTCAGTGTATATAGAATTCCTGATTGACAGTTCTTTCCCTTCAGTATTTTAGAATGTTATCTTTTTTTTTTTATTGTTGCTTACATTGTATTATGTAGTACAGTTTTATAGGCACTGGGGAATGTGTAGTTTGCATCCAAATCTTATCATTTCAAATATTTATCATTTTTTCCCAACATTTTGATTATGAGGTTTCTGAATGTAATTTTCTTTGGTCTTATCCTCAAAACTGTAACTTTTTTTTCATAAAATTTAGGAAGATTTAACATTTTTTTTCTGTAATAAAATTCCACCATAGTGTAATTCTTTTTGGATTCTGATATTGTCTAATAACTCATTGAGGATTGTTAATTCCTAAGATTTGCTTTTGTTCTGTGGTTCAAAGTGATTGGTTTACTTGTCTGTATTCAAGATCAGTTTATCATCCCAGTAATGACTACTCTACCAGGAGCCTATTAGGTGATTC